GACCTATGTCTACATAAGTAGATGGGATATTTGAGGGTACCCTTTGTAACATGAATTTGGACTAAAATTAAGGTTGCCCTATTTTGATACAAATTTAATCTTAGGGTCAAACCGTGAAGAAAAAGCCAAACCTCGTGAAAATCGGATGGGATTTGACCGAGTTACAGGGGTGTGAAATTTTGACCTATGTCTACATAAGTATATGGGATATTTGAGGGTACCCTTTGTAACATGAATTTGGACTAAAATTAAGGTTGCCCTATTTTGATACAAATTTAATCTTAGGGTCAAACCGTGAAGAAAAAGCCAAACCTCGTGAAAATCGGATGGGATTTGACCGAGTTACAGGGGTGTGAAATTTTGACCTATGTCTACATAAGTATATGGGATATTTGAGGGTACCCTTTGTAACATGAATTTGGACTAAAATTAAGGTTGCCCTATTTTGATACAAATTTAATCTTAGGGTCAAACCGTGAAGAAAAAGCCAAACCTCGTGAAAATCGGATGGGATTTGACCGAGTTACAGGGGTGTGAAATTTTGACCTATGTCTACATAAGTATATGGGATATTTGAGGGTAGCCTATGTAACATGAATTTGGACTAAAATTAAGGTTGCCCTATTTTGATACAAATTTAATCTTAGGGTCAAACCGTGAAGAAAACGCCAAACCTCGTGAAAATCGGATGGGATTTGACCGAGTTACAGGGGTGTGAAATTTTGACCTATGTCTACATAAGGATATGGGATATTTGAGGGTACCCTATGTAACATGAATTTGGACTAAAATTGAGGTTGCCCCATTTTGATACAAATTTAATCTTAGGGTCAAACCGTGAAGAAAAAGCCAAACCTCGTGAAAATCGGATGGGATTTGACCGAGTTACAGGGGTGTGAAATTTCGACCTATGTCTACATAAGTAGATGGGATATTTTAGGGTACCCTATGAACATGAATTTGGACTAAAATTGAGGTTGCCCCATTTTGATACAAATTTAATCTTAGGGTCAAACCGTGAAGAAAGAGCCAAACCTCGTGATAATCGGATGGGATTTGACCGAGTTACAGGGGTGTGAAATTTTGACCTATGTCTACATAAGTATATGGGATATTTGAGGGTACCCTATGTGACATGAATTTGGACTAAAATTGAGGTTGCCCCATTTTGATACAAATTTAATCTTAGGGTCAAACCGTGAAGAAAGAGCCAAACCTCGTGATAATCGGATGGGATTTGACCGAGTTACAGGGGTGGGAAATTTCGACCTATGTCTACATAAGGATATGGGATATTTGAGGGTACCCTATGTAACATGAATTTGGACTAAAATTGAGGTTGCCCCATTTTGATACAAATTTAATCTTAGGGTCAAACCGTGAAGAGAAAGCCAAACCTCGTGAAAATCGGATGGGATTTGACCGAGTTACAGGGGTGTGAAATTTTGACCTATGTCTACATAAGTAGATGGGATATTTGAGGGTACCCTTTGTAACATGAATTTGGACTAAAATTAAGGTTGCCCTATTTTGATACAAATTTAATCTTAGGGTCAAACCGTGAAGAAAAAGCCAAACCTCGTGAAAATCGGATGGGATTTGACCGAGTTACAGGGGTGTGAAATTTTGACCTATGTCTACATAAGTATATGGGATATTTGAGGGTACCCTTTGTAACATGAATTTGGACTAAAATTAAGGTTGCCCTATTTTGATACAAATTTAATCTTAGAGTCAAACCGTGAAGAAAAAGCCAAACCTCGTGAAAATCGGATGGGATTTGACCGAGTTACAGGGGTGTGAAATTTCGACCTATGTCTACATATATGGGATATTTGAGGGTACCCTATGAACATGAATTTGGACTAAAATTAAGGTTGCCCTATTTTGATACAAATTTAATCTTAGGGTCAAACCGTGAAGAAAAAGCCAAACCTCGTGAAAATCGGATGGGATTTGACCGAGTTACAGGGGTGTGAAATTTTGACCTATGTCTACATAAGTATATGGGATATTTGAGGGTACCCTTTGTAACATGAATTTGGACTAAAATTAAGGTTGCCCTATTTTGATACAAATTTAATCTTAGGGTCAAACCGTGAAGAAAAAGCCAAACCTCGTGAAAATCGGATGGGATTTGACCGAGTTACAGGGGTGTGAAATTTTGACCTATGTCTACATAAGTATATGGGATATTTGAGGGTACCCTTTGTAACATGAATTTGGACTAAAATTAAGGTTGCCCTATTTTGATACAAATTTAATCTTAGGGTCAAACCGTGAAGAAAAAGCCAAACCTCGTGAAAATCGGATGGGATTTGACCGAGTTACAGGGGTGTAAAATTTTGACCTATGTCTACATAAGTAGATGGGATATTTGAGGGTACCCTATGTGACATGAATTTGGACTAAAATTGAGGTTGCCCCATTTTGATACAAATTTAATCTTAGGGTAAAACCGTGAAGAAAGAGCCAAACCTCGTGAAAATCGGATGGGATTTGACCGAGTTACAGGGGTGGGAAATTTTTACCTATGTCTACATAAGTATATGGGATATTTGAGGGTAGCCTATGTAACATGAATTTGGACTAAAATTGAGGTTGCCCCATTTTGATACAAATTTAATCTTAGGGTCAAACCGTGAAGAAAAAGCCAAACCTCGTGAAAATCGGATGTGATTTGACCGAGTTACAGGGGTGTGAAATTTTGACCTATGTCTACATAAGTATATGGGATATTCGAGGGTACCCTTTGTAACATGAATTTGGACTAAAATTAAGGTTGCCCTATTTTGATACAAATTTAATCTTAGGGTCAAACCGTGAAGAAAAAGCCAAACCTCGTGAAAATCGGATGGGATTTGACCGAGTTACAGGGGTGTGAAATTTTGACCTATGTCTACATAAGTATATGGGATATTTGAGGGTACCCTATGTGACATGAATTTGGACTAAAATTGAGGTTACCCCATTTTGATACAAATTTAATCTTAGGGTCAAACCGTGAAGAAAGAGCCAAACCTCGTGAAAATCGGATGGGATTTGACCGAGTTACAGGGGTGTGAAATTTTGACCTATGTCTACATAAGTATATGGGATATTTGAGGGTACCCTATGTGACATGAATTTGGACTAAAATTGAGGTTACCCCATTTTGATACAAATTTAATCTTAGGGTCAAACCGTGAAGAAAGAGCCAAACCTCGTGAAAATCGGATGGGATTTGACCGAGTTACAGGGGTGGGAAATTTCGACCTATGTCTACATAAGGATATGGGATATTTGAGGGTACCCTTTGTAACATGAATTTGGACTAAAATTAAGGTTGCCCCATTTTGATACAAATTTAATCTTAGGGTCAAACCGTGAAGAAAGAGCCAAACCTCGTGAAAATCGGATGGGATTTGACCGAGAAACAGGGGTAGGAAATTTTCACGTATATCTATATAGGATACTAACGGTAATATCACGGTTTTGTCCGCGGCATGTGTAAAATAAATTCTTTTAAAGATCTCATCAAAAAAGTTTCATCTAAACGTTTTTCACGTTTTTTCCAGACTTGCAAGCGGAATATTCCGAAACCACGTCTTAACGTGCACCTTCATTCCATAAGGTAAGTACTGTTAAAATTACAGCCTTTTCAGCAGTAGTTGATCATCAATCAGCCAGTCTATCAGTCAATCAATCTGTCGGTCATTCATTCAGTCAGGAAAACAGTTTTATATATAACATAGAGATTAACTTTATCTTTCTTAGTTTCTCCTTCTGATAAGGCACCGAAGTGCGACTCTTTTTCCTATCAAACATGTCCCCTTAACCAATTTCTATTGATTTCCCACACAAAGTCGACTCGTACATCCAAAAGTTTTGATTGAAGGCAATTGATTATAATTGAAATTGTCCTAATGTGGACTCCAGAGAGAGAGCGAGAGGCAGAGAGAGAGAGAGAGAGATACACATTCATATAAAATTCAGATTCTTGTCGGGCGGCACATTGACTTCGCTGACTATCGAGAAAACATGTCACGTAGCAGAAAAATATACTCGTTCGCCAGTCCTGGCCCCGGTCCGGGTCCGGGTCCAGGTTCTGCTACTTCTCCTGCTTCAACCCTCCCCTGCCCCCCCGCAAATTGTTGCTCTATTTGGCTGAGAGCTTCTGCTGCTGCTTCCTCCTTTATTTATTTTTTTTTTGTACTCTGCTGCGATTTGGCCTGGGCTTAGCTGCTGTCGGTGGTTGGGAAGGTTTGTCGTAAGGGTCTCTTTTTGGACGGAAGGGGGGGTAGGGGAGATGTGCTGGTGCGGCGGTCACATTTGGCCAAGTGTTTTTGCGCTTAAGCCCTCCATATCAATCTCAGGGGACCGCAAGGATATAGAGATTTCGACATTTGTGATTTACCGAGCACAGGCTAAAGGAATATCCATAACACAAATTCATAATTTTATGTTGACTCGCAAGGAATTTGTCGCCAAATTTATTTATCTGTCGCATGGGCCCAACTATGCGCCGATTAAATGATAATTGAAAGCGAAACTGAAACAAGTGTCATAAAATAAAAACGATTATGGACGGAAATGTGCCATAAAATAAGTAGGAAGTAGTATAACTAAGCTATAGTCGAAAACGAGCTTTACTACGTTGAGGCAAGTACGCCCCCCTGTGAAAAACGTCGAACCTAAAATTAAATCTGCACTTTAAATTCAATTACATTTTGTGCCGGTTTTTTTGATAGAAAAAAAAATGGTGTGTGCACATGATGCTCGCCGGGATTTGCTGGCAAAGTCAACGCATTCAAAAGTTGACGCTCAAATCCCAAAGATTTGAATAATTGTAATAAATTTCGAAACATTTCGTAATCCGCCAGACACCGAATGCGGCACACAACCCACCAGCCCAACAACCCACCAGCCCAACAACCCACCACCCAACCACTTGCTAAATGGCAAGCGACATTTAATGCAGGAGCTCGAGCTCGGGCTTTGCCCTACCAGTTTCCACCTACCGATAGATGAGCTTGCGCCGAACGCTGCGCTTGAAGAAGCCGGAACAGCCATTGCAGGCCAGTATGCCGTAGTGTTTGCCGGAGCTGGTGTCGCCGCACACCACACAGATGAGGCCCAGATTCTGGCCCTTGAGTCGCGGCAGTCCTGATTGATCCCCCGATGATTGACCGCCCGCGCCAGCGGCAGCGGCGGCGGCAACAGCCGCCTGATGATTGGAGGCGACAGCTGCTGCCGCGGCGGCAGCAGCCGCAGCCGCGCTGTGATTCCAGCTTAGGAGGCGACTTGGCGTATTGGCCGCCGGAGGCGCCACCGATTGCTGCTCGTGTTGCGGCGGCGGCGGCGGCGGCGGCGTATAACAGTGCAGCTCTGCGAAAAGAACAAAAAAAGGATTTGCCATAAAAAATCACTTATGTAGTTCATTTAAATTAAATTGTAATTTGTCAAGAGCCGGAGCAGTGGTGGGAGGGTACAGATCTTATACCGGCGCGACGACATTGACGCCCTGTAATCCGCAAAATATATTTACACATACAATTAGGGTGCCATTAGGGCAAACGAAGGACTCGCCTTGCCTCAGGGCAAGTGGGAACAATTGTTTTGCCATCACACCCTAATTTGATTGTATAGTTGCCTGATGCTGATTCCTTGATGCACTTAACCCTCAGCGACCAGTCACCAGTCTCCCCGGTCACATTTGTTACACTCGCCACTTGCCCGTGCGCTGGAGCGTTCCTCGATTCAGTTTGGGCTTGGCTTGGCTTGGCTTTTGTGCCAACTGCTTCCGACTGCGGTCTAATGCCAGACGGATTAGCGTCATATGCTTGCATTTTCCGGCACTCATTGTTAATTTTTATGAGCTCGTTGAGATTCACTTTAGCGTATCCTTGTTGCCAGCCACAGCCACGGCTGCGGAAAGTGTTAAAGGTTCTGCTCGCCCCCGCCCCCCTCCCACCCCTCGCTTGTGTTATGAATTTTTGAAATTTTTGGCAGCCTGACTCGCATCTAATTCAATTTATTTGATTATCTTAAATTGAATTGGGTTTTGTGCCTTCGTGCGTTCCGATTGTGGAGTCAATTTGCGGGTTGATTTTTCGGCAACTTTTCCCTTTGAACTGCCAGACTTTGATTCAATATAGTTTTCGCATTTTCATTCTACATATTTAATATCTCATGCATTCGATTATGTGCTCGTGCTTAAACCAATTGCGATTTAATTAGTTGAGGGTCGCTTTGAAAAAAGGGACTAATTAATTTGCGCTTGCTTTTGACCATTTTTTTGTGCATGGAGCATTAAAAGGGAAAGGAAAAGTGTAAAACGATAAAAAAAAATAAATTATGTGCATTTACACAAACAATTAGTTGACGTGCGTTTCGGAATTTTTATGTGTTTTTTTTTTTATTAAATTCCCAAAAAATTACATGCTCGCATTTTTTGTACACAAATGCTGCAAGAAAGCTTTTTCCTTGTGAAATTTTCCGATATGCAAACTTTAATTTATTTTCTTTAAGCACAAGGCTGATTTGAGTAATTCCTCAATATCTGTTTGGATAAAAACTCGCACTCTATTATGCACACATTAATCTGTTTTTATATGTGATCCTTGGATCGCTTGCAACAAAAAACTTGGCGTCATTTTCTCTCTAGCTGTTCTGCGTGTGGGATTTATTTACATAATGCCAAGGGTCCATACTTTATCCATAAAGTTGACTGAGTTTTGAAGCCGGATTTTGACAACTTATCTAAGATGGATTCGGGAGCTTTTAATTAAATCCTTGTAACACTACTTTACACAGTTGAGGGCCTCTTGAAATTGATTAAAATTTAATCACATTTTTTTGAAACTGATCTAAGCTCAAGCACAGAAAAGCACACAACATTTCGTCCAAAATGATATACCTTGCGATCCTGAACGCGTGTCCGATAAATTTTCATCCTTATTCATAGCTAGAGCTGAATGCGAATTATAAACAAGAACTGAATAAACACTTTTTAAAATTTTTTTTTAAACTTTAAACTTTAAAACTTTTTTAACTATATTTCTTAGCACTTGAATTTCGCTGAAGTTTTGTTTGATGTTATTAGAAAATGTTTGCTGGCTTGGCCAGGCATATTACACGCATTATTCTTAATTATAATTATATATTATTATATTATATATATCGCAAAAATCAAGCGACGGCAACGCGCACTGCCGCAATGAGTATAATGTGAGTGCGAATTTAGGACAAGCCAAACGGGTCACAGGCTCTCGTGCTGGTCCGACGGCAGCGACAGCGACAACGGCGATGATGATGTTAACGTCTCGATGTACGATTTCAGATTTATCATAAAACCATGACAGAAGCTAAACACTGATGTGTCCACTGTAGCCAGCCTGCCTGCCAGCCAGCCAGCCAGCCAACCAGCCAGTCAGCCAACCCCGAAATAGGAAAAAAGAAAAAAAAAAAGTATAGCATGAAATGCTGTAGATATAATCCGTGCTCGGTGAGTGGGCAGAGGTCGGCCATGTGTGTGCGTGTGTGTGTGTGTGTGTGGCAGAACAAAAAGCACACCACCACACCAATGCCACCCAGCAGCAGCAGCAATAAGAGCAGAGAGCATCGAGCATCGAGCAGCAGCAGCAGCGAGCAGCAGCGAGCAGCGAAAGGCAGGATAACCGCATACACAGCCGCCCACTCTGCTTGGCATGCGAGGTGGGAGGGGTAGGGGTGGGTGGTTTGCTGGCAAAAAGACTTTTAGTGGCAACTCTGGTGGCGCATTTGCTTGTTGGCTTGCTTTGATTCGTTCCTTCTTGATGCTGCGGCGACGCCGGACGTCGGCGTAGGTAAGCCAAGCCGCAATCTCAATCTCCAATAAACACCCGGGCTGCGCTCTCTGCGCTCTTGCTCTGCCACACACACACACACGCACGCAACCCTGGCCGCCATCATGACTGGCAGAGTAGAAGAAGCAGCAGCAGCAGCAGCAAATATACGCGCAATGGCAGCCTTGGAGCAGCAGGCCCCCTCCCCCCATCCTTGGCCTACCGCAGCTGCGCGGGGTGCTCTGCTTCTTCTACGCTCACATATAATCGTCTTGGGTTTTGACATTTTGTTTTTGTTTCGTAATACCTTCTATGATGTTAGTGCTTGCGAATTTGCTGCCCCCATCCCCCCCCCCCCCCCCCCCCCAATCCCCATCTTTACGCTGCTGCTGCTCCTCGCCAGTTAACTGTAATTGAATTGAACGCTGGCAACTCGGCTGCGGCCTGTTTACGTTACGTTTCCTGTTCTCCTTTCTCAGTATCCCAGATTTATGGGCAAAACAATAATGGATCGACATCTGCGTTTAGGATTTTCATAAAATTTAAATTGAATCTTGTTGGATTCAGTAGAAGATAAAAGCTAGAGTATGGGAAAAACTAAAAACAATTTGGCTAACAGTCAAGAATATATTTTGGAAACTTTCTTGATCCTTCTGAAGTCGTTCTCCGATAGACTAATAACATGATATGCTCAAGTGCAGCCAGGATAGCTGCATTTTGAATTTCATGGCTCAAACATAGTTTTAGATATATTTTTTAAAGAATACCTCGCTTGAAAAGCTGTTCAAAACGAGGGTCCTGGTTCGAATGCCCAACTCATTGGTATCCATAAGGCAGGAAACCTACATCGCGAATTTCATGGCGTAAACATCGTTTTTGATATATTTACTTCGCTAGATAAGTTGTATTAAAGGAGGGTCCTGGTTAGAATCCCCAACCGAATCCCCAACCTATATCGTGAATTTCATGGCGTAAACATAGTCTTAGATATATTTTGTAAAGAAATACCTCGCTAGCTGAGCTCAAGCCATGCATGTCCATAAGGCAGGAAACCTGCATCGTGAATTTCATAGTGTAAACTTTAGATATATTTTTTTAAATAACAGCTCGCTAGATAAACTGTATTAACGGTGGATCCTGGTTTGAATCCTACGCTAGCATATGGATGTTGCGTTAGCTGCGAGTGCTGTTGACAGTTTGCATGCATATTCTATACCTTTTATATTAGAATTACAAAAATACACATCTGTGTTTGGTTTGCCTATTTCATTTTCCTAATTGCTTGACATCATTATTTCTGGCTCGTTGACTCTACTTTGAATGGGCAAAGCAACAGCGTGTGTATTCAATGCTCAGAAGCTGGCTGATGCTTTAGAGACAGACGCTGGCAAATCCAATAATCGATAAAAGTTCATCCGGCCACATCCTCTTAGCGTGTCCTTCTCTTTATTTTTTTCATTTTTTTTGCTGCCAGCCTTGGCGCCTTTGTTGTTGAGGCTTTTGCTGCGCTTAATACGCCAACATTAACTTTGTAACAAATGAGATGTCGGAACACAACAGTCACCTACCCAGCTCCTACACCCTCAGCCCAGGCCCACCCGAGCACTCAGCTGTGCGCGCGCTCTCTCTCTCTCTCTCACTCTCTCTCGCTCTCTCTTGGGCGTGGGAGGTGAAGTTTGTGCCCAGGACAAAAGTGAAACGAACGCAAAAGTCAAAGCGCTTTGCTCTGCGCTGGCCACGCCCATGCTGCTGTAGGAGGAGCGAGCGAGAGCTCGGTATCCTGTAATATCCGTGCATCAAAAATGCCCGCCAGCAGCAACAACAACAGGCTAGCCAAAGAGCGAGATAGCAAGATAGCAAGATATGCTCTGCAGTGCGAGCGAGACAAACATTGTCGAGAGGGGTTGGTTCTTGACATTTGAACGTGCGACATCTCTTCTCCGCCCGGATACACGGATACACACAAGCACTTTCTATGCGTGTGAATAAGAGCTGTGTGTTATTTTCCTATTTGGGTTTTCCTCCATTCTATTATCAAGTGCAGTGCACTTTATTTAATCAATCAAAATTCGCCAAACGAGCTTTCATTTCTGAAGTAAGGTTGGGTTTTATTATTGGGCATAGTTTTATAGATTTATTTACTCTGTTAAACTGGAAATGAAAAAAAAAACCAGGTAAATTTCATCGGCATATTTCTACCATACTGTTTATTTATTCAGATATCATCAAAACCTGGAAACAAACAAGCTTCTCTTTTGCAAGAAACTTCACATTTTTTGGTACTCTAAAAGGTTTTTAAGTCTAAACTAAATATTTCTCAAGTTTTTATAGAAATGATAATAAAACCAAACTTAAGTTTCTTGTTTGTTTTGATCCGTTTTCGTGGCTTTTCAATAGCTTAAGAAAATTCTTAACAAGATGTTTGTCTCTTCAACTTTCCTAGGTTTTGTTGCAGATATTTATCGTAATATTAGTTGTATTTCAGACTCAGAAATAAGAAGAAGACTCTGTAGACTTGTGTTCTTCATGATTTGATCAGATTTCTGAGAAAAGTTCTGCGAAAAGTTCTTAAAAAAATAGTTTCCTATTGTATCTCTATTTTAAGATGCCGTGTAGTTCTAAAGGTTTGATAGGTGTCTATTAATCCTATATTTCCCACTTCTCAAGCTTGATTTGAATATGTTCTCTCTCTTTCAAAGTTTTATGAAACATAATCCAAAATGCAAATAGATTTATTATAAATTACAAATTCACCAGTCTAGTTCGACTGTATAAATGTAAAAACTTGTGTATTCCAATAGTTCTAAACAATAAACAAACGAGAAAGATTTTCTCTAGAGCATCCGCTGTTGGGGTATACAAGGTGCAAAGGTGTATCTGCAGATTGTATGCATGAGTTATTGGATGCCAAAAACAGCGTATCTTTAATTTGTAAACAAATACAAATTGAAGTCAATGACACGTGCCCGTTCTCAGGTAAATTCATGTATCTACCTCAAGCGAAGCACAAAAACCAGTTTATCGAAACGAAAGAACAATTGAAAACGCCTCGTTTAGCAATTAATATTCGCTGCTTAGTTATCCCCCCCCCCCCCCCCCCCCCCCCACAGTTCCCATTGTTTATGTTTTATAAGAAACTGTGGCTATGGATTTGGCATATTTACATACATAAACAATTGAATAAAGTCCGAGCACTCGCACTGAAGTCAAGCTGTTTGCAATCTGATTGACAGCTCAGTTGGCGGGGTGGAAAATGCACAGAACACGGCGGATAATCCTAACGGCAAACAGATGAGTACGAAAACCAAACCGAACACGTATCAATTTTATAGAGATAATTGTTTCGTTCAAATTGTAGTTAGTTCCCGCAACCGCTGCAAGTAAAAGTCAAGGAAAAACTCTGAAAGTTGAGACAGAATTCAGGAAGGCACAGTTACTATAACTTATATTTTGTTGAAGACTATGTTTTATGTGTATAGCAATTGGTTTTGGAGTGGAATTTCATATTGTTTTGTTTTAATTATCGTTTGCTGTATATGCGCGCTTTAATTTGAATATATTTTATTTACAGTTTAAATTTATTTACGACTTTCTCGTTTTCAAGTCAAATAACAGTTGCAATAAACAAGCATTCAACTTAATTGCTTACGTGGCTCATCATTATAATTTACAAGAAAAACTTACTTAAAACTATTTTTTTTTGCAGTTTTTTTTTTTTATACTGATTTTGTATTATTTTGTTGTTTAATTTCTTTCTTGACTGTGCTTTAGTTTAATTAATTTATTTATTATGCTCATTTTGCATTGTTTTATTTTATGTTTTTATTTTTACTAGTGAGAATATTGATTGATTAGTTTTGTATACATGCATGTGTGTGTCTATATATATATATATATATATCATCATCATTATATATATATCGACTTTTCTCTATATATATATATTTTGTGGTTTTCAAATTTAGTTAATTTCTGTTCTGTTCGATTTTGTCGGGTGCTTTTCACTATGCGTCTTGCTGTTTTCTCTTGTTTTGTTTTTGTATAAATAAAAAATATAATAATTTTGTTTCGCTTCGAATAATACATGCCATACATTGAAATACGTTTGATTCTGATTATTATGATTCTCATAATTTATGATTAGACGTTAACCACGTTAGGCCCTCGTAGAGGCCATCGCCGCTTGTGGCACATGATGGCTGGACATACCAATTGCGATCTCTTATTCTAGTTAAACCTAGTTTTTCCTGGATTTCATGCGGTTTCATTGCTGCAACAAGATTTAACAACTATCGTTAATAATTCATTTGAATTTGTTAAGTAAGTTTAATTACCATCAGCTAGATCCTGTTTATTAGCAAATATCAGTATAATGGCGTCCCGCATCTCTCTATCATTAATTATCCTATGCAGTTCAGTGCGCGCCTCATCTATTCTATCTCGATCAGCACAGTCCACAACGAATATCAGACCCTGTGTGCCTGTTCCGAGTCAAATTTTAAGGGAGGATACAAGTTAATATGAATGTTTTGCGGAATCCCGTTGAATGCTTGCCTGTATAGTAATGCCGCCAAAGCGGTCGAATTTTGTCCTGCCCGCCAACATCCCAGACATTGAACTTGACATTCTTGTACGTCACAGTTTCCACATTAAAACCCACCGTGGGTATCGTTGTAACCGATTGACCCAGTTTCAGTTTATAGAGGATCGCTGCGCAAACGTTTCAGAATATATAAAAATTCAATATTAATAACAATTGATTTAGATTAGCATTGCGCACTCACTTGTTTTGCCAGCAGCGTCCAAGCCGAGCATAAGAATTCGCATTTCTTTGTTGCCGAAAATTTTTGATAATAGCTTTCCCATGATGATGTGTCATCCATTAAACGCTGGCCAAACTGAAACCAAACAAAATTCATATTACTATATGTGTATATATATGCATCCATCTAGATATATATTGAGCTTTACAGAAGTTGCTATATAGCTATAGCTGCCACAGACCCAGGGCAAGTTATCGTATCAATTTTGTGTTGTGTGTGATATAAGCATGCCGCTACAAGGCGCGCACACACACACACACACATGCATACACACGTACAGCATACACACACATACAGCATAATGCGTCAACGGAAGTTAAGAGCATTATTTTGCATAATAATTCAACTTACATTGTGGTGTGTGCACAACAACAACAACAACAATAATAAAAGCGACTACAACAATGTTAAGTTCAGAGAGAATTTATCGCTGCCACACACACACACACACATGCATACTTGTACAAACAACTCAAGTACAATTGGGCATACGCATACAGCGCACACATAAACGAATGATCATAAATTAAACAAAAATTATCTGAATGGGCCAGCCAATTGAGCACAGTACGCTGGCCATGCAAAGCCAGCTGCATAGCCGGCCTGGCACGACCCGTGCTCCTGATGATCCTGGGCAGTCCAAAACGCTGTTGCCTTGTGCCTTGGCTGGGGCTGAGCGTGTATTTGCTCGCCGAACACGTCACATACACGCCCGAGTCTCGCACACACACACACACTGACACACACAGACACGCATACACACCCAAAATTCTAGACGACGAGAACCAAGTGTTGGTGAAGATTACGCTGCTCTACGTTCGACGCGCGCCTTGGCTGGGCTTTACACCATTAAGCGTTAACACGTCGCGTTCGAATTGTGCATACAATGCATTTGCTTAAAAAACAAAAAACTACTAAATGTTAATAAACTATAACAACAACAAATTTTGCACTAATCTTCTCATATTTGTATGCGCTGAATGTTTTTCTTGTTTTTACAGTGTTGCCACAGCCACACACACAGAGACATCACTCTTGGTGTGTACACACTGGCACTTATCGGTGTGGCAACACAGTATTTAGTGTTGGCAAATGTTGCTTAGCAGCACTGCTGCCCATAGATGGCGTAACAACAAAGAGCATTTGTCGCTTGCTCAAATGGTAATCATTTTAATTAATAATAACAAACACGCAAACAAATAATGGAATTAAGTTAGTCACAAAGTGCACACACAATAAAACATCATGGCTGGCATATATCCCAGAGAGGCGGTGCGCGTTAAGGTCAAGGTATGTTTTTGGACCAGACACAAGCAAACACAACAATTTTCACCCAGCCCTCCCCCCCTCTGCACTTTCTCTTCCCCCCGCTCACACGCACACGCACACTCGCATAGAAATGCGAGGCAGCCCGACCGCCAGAATGGCGCAAATTCTCTGTGGATCCGCAAATAACCACAATGGAGGTGCTCTACTCGCTGCTAGCCAAGGCTTTTGACATCAAATCCGATTTTTCAATCAAATACAAAGCCTTCGATCCAGCTGGCAATGAAATCTATTTGGCCGTGCTCTCCGACTGGGATCTGGACGCTGCATTCCTACGCATACACAATATATCCATACAGACCGCCTCGGAGCCGTGCCTAATGCTACAGATCGACGTCAAACCCTTCACTTTGGTGCGTGAATGCGAAACGGATTCCACAGCCACCAGCAGATCGGGAAGCATCAGCAGCACGGCCACATTTTCGGCCAGTGTATCGCCGCTGCAGTCGCTGGGCGTCTCCCAGAAATATGTGCAGCACATGCAGACGAAATTGCCGGGTCTGATCATGAATCAAATGGAGAAAACGTTCTCCATTGTGCAGAAGGCCTTCAATTTGTCGGACGAGCACATGGCCAATCTGCCGCCGCGTCCGCCAATGTGCGATGGCGAATTTCGTCTGTTCCTGGATGCGTTGGGGCAAATCCAGCGCCGCGATGAGCTGCGCAAGGTGATCTTTCTGGGCGGCATTGAGCCCAGTTTACGTCGCGTCGTCTGGAAGCATCTGCTGAATGTGTATCCCAGCGGACTGCATGGCCTGGCCCTGGATGGGCATCAGCGCATGGAGTTTATGCGCCGCAAATCCGAGCAATACTATAAGCTGCGCGACACCTGGAAGGCGGCTGTGCAGCGCGGCTGTGCTGCCGGCGAGCTGGCCTATGTCACCAGCATGGTGAAAAAGGATGTGCTGCGCACGGATCGACTGCATCCGTTTTATGCGGGCAGCGATGACAACCAGAACATTGCCTCGCTCTTCAACATACTGACCACATACGCTCTGAATCACCCGGTGGTCAGCTATTGCCAGGGCATGTCCGACATTGCCTCACCGCTGCTCGTCACCATGAACGACGAGGCGCAGGCCTACATATGCTTCTGTGCGATTATGGCACGTGTGCGCGGCAATTTCATGCTCGACGGCATTGCCATGACTCAGAAATTCGCCCATCTCACGGAGGCTCTGAGCTTCTATGATCCCGAATTTTGGGAATATCTCAAGTCGCAGCAGGCGGACGATCTGCTCTTCTGCTATCGCTGGCTGCTGCTCGAGCTGAAACGCGAATTTCCCTTTGAGGATGCGCTGCGCATGCTGGAGGTTCAGTGGAGTTCACTGTGCTATGACAATAATAGCTCCAAGGAGCTGTCTCTCTACGAAAAGGTGCGTTTTTACACTCCAGCTAATTAGAGTTCGAAAGGTAGATATTTACTTAAACTGTAAAATGAGATGGGGCTTAGAGAATTATATGTTCACGGGCAAAGCCGCGTAATTTCTGCTTATTAGTTATATTTCTTAGGAATCGGACCACAATTAGCTTTGTAAAGCATGTATTTATATATTTTTTAGTTGTTTTTTTTTTTGTGGTTTTATATTTAAACATAATATTCACGAACTTTTTCAAGGCTAGAAACTAGATTTTCCTGCTTAAATGTGAATAACATGCAAAGCATAGAAGTGTATAAATATGTTCACGGACAAGGCCGGGTAATTTCTACACATACCTGACAAAAAGTTGCAATTCGCATCCTCTCAATGAACTTTTGTGCTGAGGATAAAACGCGCAGCGGACTATTTTTAAAATCGAAAATATTTAAAATTTAAATTTGTTGTAGGTGTTGAAAATTTCTTAATATTTATTTTGTGAAAGATATGTCATGACCAGCTAGCTCTGTTTGTCAATAGGATCGATCCATTCTTCTGGCAATTGTAATCAGAAATCTTCTCTAATATCAGGAATTTGTGCCCATAACGGAGGCATCGGCGCCGAACAGTGCCAGCACATTTTCCACATCGTACAGCGCCACGCCGACGAGTCCTTCCTATCTGCTGACCAAGCCGCGCGAGAATCCCTACACCAAGGTGTGCGCGCTGCGCAGACAGAGCTCCTCGGCGTCGCTTAGCTCGCTGAGCTCGTCGCTGGGCGCCGCCAGCAATCATGCGCTGGATAACTCGAAGCGTTTGAATCAGAGTCTGGACGAAAATATATCGCGTCATGCGGCGCGTCGTCAGCGCAGGGCGTCGGCCAAGGCGCACCAAAGTCTGGACGAGTCCAAGATGTTGGCGCTCATTGAGGGCGGCATTGCGGAGCATAATGCCAAATCGGTGCTGGAGCTGTCCGCCAGCGAGGATACCGATGACGATGTCTTCGATCGGAAGGAACAGATATCAGCCTCGCCGCCACAATTCCATGAAACGAATCCGTTCAAGGAGGATGCACAACAGCAGCCAAGCAACAACAACAATAATAATAATGTCGCCACGCCCGCCAGGGTATTTCTGTCTTCAACATCGTCTTCCAATCTGGGCGAGGAGAAGGAGCGGGAGCAGCTGCAGGGCCTGGCCAAGCTGCCGGCGAAGAACATTCTCAATGTAAGCAATAGCATTGCCAAGCAATTGGCCTCCAATGCCAGCTCGGTCAGCGAGAGCGTCAAACGCGTCAGCAGCAGCAGCGGCGGTCATTTCAAGGATCTCAAGGAGAAAATTGCGGCCAGCAGTCGCATGGCCAGCATCTCGTTCGATGGCGGCGACGATGCCGAGCACAAGACGCCGCCCAAGCTGGTCAAGAACTTTAATGAATTTCTCAACTTTGCAGCCATCAACAAGAATCGCATCTCGGATCGCCTGGCCAATCAGCTGCAGATCAGCGAGAAGCCGCAAAAGGAACAGCAACAGCAGACGCCGCCACAAGTCAGCAAGCCGGTGGTGCAGCTGACCAAGGGCGGACCGCTGGGCAGCTCGCTGGATGAGTCCGACTCCTCGTCCATACCAGAGACTAGCTGGAGTGCCTCGACAGCGGCCACAGCCATACAGCAGGCGCAGGAACTGAGCAGCTATAGTCTGCAAATGGATCTCAATGCAGTGTCGCCGGTGCAGTCGCAGCCGCAGCAGCATCAGCAGCAGCCCGAGGAGACAACGCCCGATCAGGATCCCGATCAGGAGTACTATCCCATGACAAACGCCATCACGCGCGAGCTACGCCTAGAGGCGGAGAATCTGGATCGTCAGGTATTTGGGCTGCCATTTACGGAAAAGCAAATACCCGCTGACATTGAATACGAAAAACTGGACAAGGATACGCTGGACCTGGTGGAGGATCTGAAGGAGAATGAGATCATCACCTGTCCCGATGTCAGCGAACTGCATATGCGTCGACGGCAACGTCTGGCGGCCGCCAAGAGCAACAGCGTTCAGCCGACGGAGACGCACACGCTGAATCCCTTTATAGATGAGAGCCAGTTGCTGGACGGTGGAGGTGGAGTTGGTGGTGCCATGCGCAACAGCAGCAGCCTGCCGGAGGTGATCATGCCAATTTCAACGGAACCGAATCGCGTGGAGGCGCCGACGCTTGTGGAGATTGCAACGAATGCGGATGATGAGAGCGCCTACACACGCTCGCCACACCGCACCAGTTCCAGTCCGATAAACGGGATCAATAGCACAGCTGCTGCACTGCCGCCGCCAGCTGAATTTGGGGGTGGCAATGCGTTCCTTATGTTTCTATGCCTGACCCTGTTGCTGCAGCATCGCAACACAATCATCAAGTCGGCCATGGACTACAACGAGATCGCCATGCACTTTGACAAGATGGTGCGCAAGCATGATGTTACCCGGGTGCTGAATCAGGCCAGGCGCATGTACTTCGAGTATCTGCAGGCGCAGCGCAAGCAGCCAGCAGCTTTGGTCCCCGGAGCAAAGGCAGAAACACAGAAAAGCACAGAAACCACAAATTTAGACTAATTCGGACGGAATGAGAACTGAGCGGGGACACAGCTTGAGATTGTTGGACATATAACGACTGAGATTTCCTTTGGGATTGGTCAGCCCCAAATATATATATAAAGATATATATTTATAGCCTAAGAAAGCCTAAGAATCAATCTTGTTAAGCGTCTAACTGTTTAAATATAGTTATAGCTGAGATTTTCATTGAGAAAGTTGCTCAAAATGCGCACCAAGAATTGACATTTCGTCAGAAACCAAAGTTTTCCCTTTAGTTTATTTATTTATTAGCTGCCAAATCGAACAGGCCAAAAAGTTTGTTTTTTAATTTGTTGATTACATTTTCTTAAGTTACATTCCACACTTAAACTATATGCGCTTACAATTTTAAACTAAACTACGTACTTAATACTTGTGACTAAGCAAAACTTTTGAAAGTCCCGTTCATTTGTTTGTTTGTTTTTTTTCGGTTAGACTCCCTCCTAATGTCCTTTGTAAAGTTAACGAGAAATGAAACTTTTAAAAATCGCTAAATAAATGCATTCCACAACCAAGAGAAACCTATTTCAGGCACGATCTAAGCCTTATAAAGTTGTTCTTGTGTATTCCTCTATAAGGTTCATATTCGATCTAAGAAAATGTTTTTCATATGTGCTATATGATATACCTTTTCCAAAAGTTTGCAGATAATTGAAAGCCGAAGACATAGACATATTCCCTTCGTGTATATCTTAGGATATTACAAATTGTGAAAATTTATTGAAACATTGAGGCAATTAATTCGTACAAAAATATTTATAAAACGCAATTCAATTTGAACGTTAAACAGAGCAAAAAAACAAAAAAACAAATTTGAAAATGAATTCAATTTAGAAATTATATTTTCGCTTGAGACGCTCGCGTATGAGCAGGCCCTTGATGAGCTTTTTCCAGTTGCCGTAGACGCGCGCTTCGTATTTCTCCTGCTCCTTGCGCGCCTGCTCCTGCTGATCCTCCTCCCAGGCGGCGGTGACCAGCTCGCCAAACTCCTCACAAACGACAAAGCCATCGTACATGGGATGACAGGCGCCCTGATGGAAATCGAAACCAATCACAGCATTGGCGCAATCGATGTTCAGCTTTTTGCAGACGCGCATCAGGCCTGGCACTGTTGGGACGAGGCGTTAGATGATATATGACTTGGGCTGTGAGTGGCACACTTACGTCTGAGATGGACTGTTTTCTTGGGCAGCATGCAGGCCTTGAAGAGCTCCACATTGCCGTACGCGTTGCGCGGCACCAGCCCGTTCTCGGCGGTGGGCGGCTCGTACTCCTGCGTTTGCCAATAGCCAAAGATCTCCAGCGGCTGATCCTTGATGACAGTGCGCGTGAGCTGTAAGAAGTAATACATGTAATACACGTATTTTTCAGTCGGAATAGTTTCACTTGCGTAAAGATTTGCTTACCTTATCCCACTTGGGCCGCGCCTTGACAATCTTGTAGGGCTGCTCGCCCAGCTTCACGACACGCGCGCTTTTTAGCCAAATATCGCGGGAGTGCATCAGATGGACGCAGTCGCGCGAGTAGACAGGCTCGCCACGTATAAAACCCAGTGTGGGCGCATCTGCCGGATAGATGCCCTGGAATTTGAGCAGATGACGCTCCAGCACGTACAGCGGATGATCCTTGAACTCGGATATGGACTTCGGCAGCGGCTTGTCAGAGTGTATGCGACGCAGCTGCTCATCCTCGCGTATGTCGCGCTTGGTCCGCCTGCCCAAATAGGGCGCCAGTGTCTCATCCAACCAAGCCTTCTCCACGCGCGACTTCCGCACCGTGGTCGTCCAGCTGGGACAGTATCGGGCCGTCACATCCTTAAGACTGAGATCGTCTTGGAATGCGAAAACATAGGCCAGATTGGAGGAGGCATTTCTCTGCAAGCGCAAGCTGTTTAGGATTGGGAACCGCTCAAACCAGGCGTTTACTTACCCGGATTGAATCCACATCGTGAATCTTGCCCTTAAACAGATCTATGCATATCCACTGCTCCTCCACCTCGGACCATACCTCCACCCACATATCGGAGGCAGTTGTTTTGCGTTTCTCCTTGACGCCTTCATCATCGGTGGAGAGCACGCGACGATCCTTGCGCAGCTGCTGCACTGCCTTGGGCAGCACAGGCGCCTTCTTTATGGCCCTGTTGGGCGTGGAGTCGGACGCGGAAGTGGAAGCGGATTCGCTGCCCTGGCTCTGCGATTTCTGCAACTTCTCCAGCTTGGGTCGCTTCTTGGGCAAGGGCAAGCTATCGTCGCCGCCATCAAGCTGGGGTATGGCCAGCGCTTTGGCCTTTTGCTGGCGCGTTCGCAGCTCCCGTTTCGGTTCTTCTGCTTTGGTCAAAAACGTGGGCGATATTTTGGCCTTTGCATCCTGACTGCGACGCGGCGCTGCACTTTTCGTTGTGGCTGCCACAGGCGCATTCTGGTCGCCCTTTAGGAACACCGGCGAGATGTGCACCTTGGGCGACTTGCTGCGTGAGCGTGTGACACGCTGCTGATTCCGGCCAGGATTGGCGTTCTCTGCATCGCTATGCATGGCATTTTTTGGCAACACCAGCTTAGGTACGACAGGTGAGCCTATCTTGGCTGCCGGATACGAGACTTCCTCGCATGCCGCCTTTTCCGTATCTGCAGATGCTTTGCGTGTGCGTCGCGCCACGGGCGTAAATTCAGGCTTCAGCTGCTCCAGCCTCGGTTTCTTGGTTGCTTCTGCAACGGGCAACTGGGGCGCGCGTTTGAGTCGCCCAATCTGCGGCTTGTCCTTGGCCGGGTTGCTATCCCCCCTGCCTTGTGAGCCGCTTGGCTTGACCTCAACCTCCGGCTTCGAGCTGCTCTCGACGGCTTTGGCTTTGGCTTTGCTGTGGGCGCTGGACTTGGGCCGTTCACTTAGTTCCTTGGAACTGGACTTCGCTTCTGCTTTGGTTGTAGAAACTGTTTTGGAATTGGACTTAGCGCTGGACTTGGTCGTCGATTGGGTGCTGGGGTCTTTTTTGTGCTCTTCAGTTAGCTTTTTGGCTGCTTTTGCTGGGACACTGGAGCTGGGCTTCGATTCCGCTTTAGCTGCGAATGCGGCTGCAGGGCTGCTCTTGCTGCTGGAATCTTTGACGGTTGTTCTGGCCGCCTTTGAGCTGCTTTTGTGAGCCTTTGTCTTGCTGCTTTTGCTGTCCGATTGTTCCTCCTCATCCTCGTCAGCTTCGCTTTTAATAGTTCCACTTTTGTTCTTCTCCTCCTGCTTCAGTTTAATGGGTATCAGATCGCTTGCCTGCGGCCGCAGCGCCATGGGCTGTAGATTGACAATCAAGCGACAATTCATGCCCATGCCGCGCGCCAGTATAATGAATATGAAGATCATGTCCTGTTTGCAGCGCGCCTCCTTGCGCTTAATCTGCGCCAGCAGCTCCTCGATAATGGCGCGCTTTGAGCCAGCCGTTGCCTTGGCGGCATACAGATCCTGACTCAGCAGCTTGATGGCCGTTTTGAACCAGGTGACAAAGGATTGCAGATACTTGAGCTCAACGCCCTTTTCCGTGGGATAGGCATTCCGGCTGGGCAGCAGCTTCAGTGCGGCCTGCATCAGGCTGGTATCCGCGAGCAGGCGATTGTACTTTAGGCTGCGCGCTATGAGGCACAACAGGCTGACCTTGTGCATCAACAGCTGGCGGTCCTTGATGTCGCGATTCATGCGACGCTTCAGCGCCAGCTCCAGTTCATGCTGGGTTTTCTGCTCCTTGGTCAGAGTGCGCGTTGGCAGGCCCACATGAATCTCCAGATCACCAGAGACATTGGGCGTGGCGGCGGCATCCTTCTCCTGGTCGTCGCTGCTCAGCTGAGCGTCTGCAAAAGGGAAGTGGTTCGGTCAGGTTGGGGGCTTCTTCAGTTACAGTCTGTTGCTTAAGTATGTCTACGGGCAATAAAAGCAGCTACAAATTGTCGGTTTTGTATCGATTTAAAGTTTTATTTCATTTTGAAACGCTTTGCATTTATTTATTTCATTTGATGTGCATTTTAAATTTTCAATTATTGAATTAAATACAGTTAACATTCACTAAATTGCGCTAAATTATGCATTTTCTTTGCATTATTTATTTACTATACATACTAAATATTTCGCTTGTATTTTGTGAAATGAATACAATTTTGCTAAAGTAAATTCGTTTAACATCAGTTCTAATTTGTTAGCTAGTTTTTTTTTTTAATTTTATTAATATTAGTTTTTCATTGTTCGTTTTTCTTTGCATTTTGAAACACTTGAAAATTTCCATAAAGTAAGTGTATAAAGTGTGTTTAACATTTATGTTCAATTTCTTAAGTCTTGTTCTTTGGCAAATGAAACACAATGAAAATAAAATGCAGCCCGTATAAATATTCGAAACTATTTTGCTTCGGTTTCAAACGTTTTATAAAACTTCGATTTCATGTGCTTTGCAAATAAGATTTGTGTATATACTTAGTTTGGTTTAAGTTCTTTAAAATGTGCAAACATTTCAACACACACGCAGATTTCTTGAAAAGTTTTTAACATTTAACAACACTCAAACAGCTATTTTGTGTTAGGTTTCTTCTTTTTTTTTTTTTATTTATTTAGTGCTATTTGCAAAAGACATTGAGAAGTATGTTGTTGTTTTTGTTTTTTAACTGAGAAACTGAGCAATTTTACCAGTGTTGGGTAGTTAGCTTGTCGTGTAAATATAGTTATTTGCAGTTGCAGTGTTGGAAAGTATAGCTTAAGCCGTGTTAAATAAAGCTTTCTAATGTGGTTTCTATGCTCTGTATATTATTTCAGTCTAAGAGACTACAAGTCCCAGTTTCAAATAGTTTGCACAAGTATTATATAAATTGTTAAGAGTTTCTATGGAATAATCTTTTTGAAATTCATCTATTTTTGCATGCAGACTATTTGAACTGGGCTCAACAGTAATATACAGTTGGGTGTTAGTTTAGTTCTAGAGAGCAGTTGTAATATAATTGTAGCTCTGCTTCTGCTATGTATGTATATATTTTCGTTAAACAAATAACTACGCAGTCTCATACGGAGCCATTATGGAAGCTTTTATCTTTTATTTTGTTATCAGATACGAGTTTCTCTGGAATTTTTGCTAGCTAAGATCAACAAACAAGACACCACAACCAACTTTTGATATTAAGCCCTGCTACCGCTTTATCAACAACTACAATCAACATTATATTCTTGTTTTGGTTTTTTCTACTTGCGTTTCCTACCTGCAACTTCCTCAAAGTCAGAGTCATCGGAGTCGCCGCCAGCAGCTAGCACAGTGGACGCAGGACGCGTTTTCGTGTGCCGCTTAATGCGCGTCGACTTGGTTTTGCTGAGACGCGACGGTGCATCCAATGGCGGCGGCTGTGCTCCTCCGGCGCCGCCAGCAGCTGCCCCAGCTAAGGAACGTCGACGTTCGCGTTGTTTGTCCGGCTCGTTAGCGTAGTTTTGGTTCTCGCCCAATGCAAGCAGTGCGTTGACATCCATGGCTGCAGCGTTGCCCTGGCTGCCTGGTAGCGGTGGGGGCGTGGCCGTGGCATTGCGCTTGGTGAGCAGCGCGGCCCGGGTGCGCTCCAGGCTATTGGCATTCTCGAGCAGGTCACGAAAATCGAAGGCTTTGCCGGCATTATTATCCTCAAAGCTGCTGTCGTTGTTATCCTCGGAGCCGGAGCCAGAATCGGATAGATTTGTGATGCCCGCATTGCAATCGAATTGCGGCGCTGGCGATTTTTCTTTACTGGCCGTAAAGAAACTGGAGCGCAGATCAATATCAGCGGGATTGACCAGATAATCCTCGACACTGGATTCGCTGCTGGAGTCAGCTTGGTTGCTTTCATTGGGCGTTTTGGCGTTTTTTGAGGCCGTCAAGCGGCTGGCAGAACCCGATGCCGTCGGCGAGTTCTGTGTGGGCGATGTGGGAAATGTTTTGGGCGGCGGACGATATTTGTTGTAGAGCTTGGAGCGCAGCGATTGGCCGCTCGGCTTGCGTTTCTTCACAGAGGCGCCCTTAATGCCGCTGGGCGGCTTTTGTTCCCTATGATATGGATGATAGATTACTTGTTTTGTTTCATTTTGAGTTAAAAGTGATTGATTGCTTGCCTCTTTTTGGCTGCGCACGCCGAGGAGCGGCCACTGGCGCTGGCTGCAGCTGCCGCACCGCCGAGTGTCTCCTCAAATTCGCTGTCATCGTCATCGGAGGATTCGCCGCCGCGTGCATCTTTGCCCGGTTTCCATTCATCCTCCTCGCTGGCGGAAAAGCCCTCGGACAAGGATTCTTCTTCTTCGTCGGACATTGTGTGTGCCTGTGTGTGTGTGTGTGTGCGTGTGTGTGGGGGTGCTTGTTGCTCACAGGCTGCGCGTTTTACATGTGTGTGCGTGTTCTCTGTGCCACTTACAGTTATTGATTTTTACTGCGCACTTTTCGAATGCTCTTCTCTTCCTTGCTGCTGACACAACAGTGCTTAATTAATTGCCATTCGTAACATTTAATTGTCCGTTTGATTGGATTTCATGCAAATATGCAGCCCGTTTTATTGTTGGCTATTTAAACGAATTTGCGAAATTGACATTTCCGCGCTTGGCTGGCGTTAGGCTGAGAAATAGCGATAGGCGTTTGATAAGTGGAGGTCGTCGATTATTTATTCAGGTGCGTGCTATCGAGTATGTAACATATACTGATATATCGATATATCGATAGATAGATATCTGCTATATCGATAGGCGCTTGCAAAACGTAAACAAAAGTGTGTTCACACACAGTTACAAAAGAAAATAGCAAACTTAGCTGCACAGCACTTGGCAACACTGCTATAAAATTGTTTATTTACATGCGTTCGCATGGATTCCTCGGGCCAGGAGCTGCATCCCAATTGGCGAGCTCTGACAACATTGCATGTGCCACTGAAACGCTTTGTGCGCGCAGGGGCTGCCGAGCAGGAGCGCGGCAAGGCAAAGGTGGCGAAACAAACAATCGATGGCGGAAGCGGCGCTGAAGTGCAGCAGTTCTACAGGGAAATTCTGGATACGCCCACAACAGCAAAAGTCACCAGCAAACCCACAAATACTGACACGTCCAGACAAGCCAAAGAACAGCCACAAGCGCTGCCCTATGACAGAAACAGATTCTTTCGCCTGGCCACAAGCAACAATGTGGAGCAGCTGGCCCAGATGTGCATTGCCGAGGAGCAGCAGCTAAATGCCTGCGATTCGTATGGCTGGACGGCGCTGATGATGGCTGCCTGCGAGGGCGCGGCAGATGCAGTAGCCTGGCTGCTGCAGCTGGGCGCCGATGCGGATGTCGCAGACAAAAGCGGCAACACGGCCCTGCGACTGGCCAGCAAGAAAGGCCACACGGGAATTGTGCAGCTGCTGCAGCGGGAAAGCAGCTCCAATGCGGCCGCAGCCCAGCTGGAAGAGGGGCCCAGCGACACAGCTGCTGCACCCTTCTATTGTGGGGTATGCCAAAGGGATTACAGCGAGTCCAGTTGGCGCGCCCATCAGACCTCGACGGTGCATCGGTTCAACATGAAATCGCTGCCCGCCCACAGATTACAAAAGTTCAACATCCCGGCACGAAATCGTGGCCTACAGCTGATGGTTAAACAGGGCTGGGACCGTGAGCACGGCCTGGGACCGAGCCAAAGCGGACGCCTCTATCCGGTGAAGACCGTGTTGCGCAAACAGCGCACCGGCCTGGGCATTGAGCAGTCCCCGGCGCGTGTCACACATTTCGGAGCCTTCGACACAAATGCCACCAAGCATCGCAATCGGAATCCCTTGCCGCCGCAACAGCGACACACTCGCAACGACATGCGGCGGGAGAAGGTGCGAGAATGGAAACGGGAGCGCCGACTGCGCAATGAATTGAGTTGACTCGGAATAAAGATTGGATTGAATTGGATTGTTACATGTCAGATTTTTCGCTTATGATTCTGTTGTTAATGGATTCGAACTCAAAACGTTGACCTTGGATTCTTGTGCCGGCCAAGGCAGCTGCTCATTAGTAGTTATCACTGTATACAATATTTAGCTTTAAATTGTGTCTAATGTCAGGACGCAACGTTTTTATGCTTGGATAGGTCAGGGCACAATGGCGGCACGTGCCTTTGTGCTGACCTTTTGCGCGGTGCCGAGCTACCTACATTTGCGTGGGCCACGTGCAGCGTGCTGGCGGAGGGGGGCGTGGGGGGAGAGGTACTGCTTTCCACTGCGAAGTTTAGCCCGGAGTTGCGAAACCGAAAGCTGTTGCACGGCACGGCGCGCTCTCATCCTGCAGCATTCAGCTGACACCGATTCCGCTTTGCGCCTGCGCACTGCCCGCTTCCTAAGCCCCTTTCGAAACCGACGGCTATGCTTGCGTGTATATGTATACATACATATATAAAAGGCAGTTTACCGAATTGTTGGACTCAGTCGCGTTCGGACTGTGACAGTGTGCAGACGTGCTCAGGACGCCTCCGTTGCTCAAGTGTGCCTCTTTGTTGTTGCTGCTGCCTCCTGTGGTCTAGTTTTAAAGTAAATCACAACGTGTGCGTGTTCAAAAGTTGTGCCAGTAATTAAACGTACACATAAAGTTGTGCTATGCGAAGGTCGGCAAACAGCGTGTGTTAGGTAAATTAAAAACATTGAATTATTAAACGTTCTGCAGGACAATTGTCAATTAAGTGTACGCAATAAAAATGTTCGTTGAGTACATTTCAAAAAGCAACGTTTTTTATTTTGTTGCATTCCGAATTGATGTGGCAACACTGGCTGCTACCCCAGTTTCGATCAACAGCTGTGCGCTCGCTCGGCAGCGCAAAAGCAAACGCAACGCAAAAGCGAGAAAGAAGAACACGCAACGACAAAACGTTGGCGCCCAGAACATTAGCGTCGCATTTGTTGTGCTTATTTGTGTTTGCGGTCCCAACGTGTTCGGTTTATATTAGCGCTCGTTGCGCAGAAAATAAATTATATTTCAAATCAATTGAACACGTATTGCCAACGTTGTGTTAATTCTCGTGTAGTGCTTGTAACTTGTGTTAAATTGAAGTGTATGCAGCGTCAAAAATATATAAAGTTAACCAAAGTACGCAGTATGCCAGTTATTATGCAGAGCATGCAAAAACTCGACGTAATAATTAACACGATTCGCAGTGAAAGAGGCATAAACAATTCCTGGTGCATTTTGGCGTCGCTGCTCGCTGCTGCCATGTGATTTGCGTGAACTTGACAACAATTGAAATATGCTAATAATATGCATATGTATGCATATATACAGTTGCTTGTTATTGCAAAATATTCAATATATATTTGGTTTATGGATAATTTCTTTAGCAACTACACACACGCACAGCCCATTTTGTGTTTGTGTATTTGTTTGGTTTACATTTATAAATTGCTACCTTGTCTTTTTATCTCAGCGACGCGCTGCCCACCCTGCTCCGCTACGCAGCGGCAGCGGCAGCGACAGCGACAGCAACAGCATCTGTCAGTGTGGCGGCGATCTCAGTATTGTTTTTGTTATTTTGCCCTCAGGCGCTCTTGCTCTCTTTCGCTCCATGAACTTTGCGCGTGCCTTTCAATTTGTTTGATCTGTCATTGCAATTCCATCTCATTCTCTCGCACTCTAGAACTGTGGCGTTCTGTTCGTTCACCCACGCGCTCTCTTTATTTGATATTCTTGCTCGCTCACGTAACGGTTTGATTATTTAGAAATCAATGCAGTGCGGCAATAGGAACGGTTGCGGGGGCAACGGGGGCATTGCAATGTATTTTTGTTATTATTTACCGTTTTTAAATAATTAAATTGCGGAATTATTTTGATTGTGTATTTGGAAAATTGTAATTTATGACCACAAGCAGTGATTAGAATAAAAAAAACGCTTTAATTTTGGCAAATTAACACTGCGGTTAAATTTTAGTGTTGGCTAACATAAAAACAAATGTTTTTTTTTTTTCTTTTTATGATCAAAAAACATACAAACGTAAATAAACTATTTTAGTGAGTGTTTTGTTTAGAGCCAAAACAAAAACAAAAAAAAAAAAAATAGCTTGCCAGTCACATGGCCTGTTTAACCGTTAGCTCTGCAAAAGCCATAAATACAAGGTTAAGAACACACGGAACAACCGAGCAAAGATCTTGCAAGCACGTCAACTAATCTCGTAAATCTTTAAAATCCTAAAACAAACAAATACAGAAGAAAACAAAAAAAACTAGTTCGAAAAAGCAAATGAAACTTCTACATGTTTATTATTAAGTACAGTGAAGCCAGCCTTGAGCAGACCATTTTGATTGCACTCAAAAAAAAAGTTGTACTCTTCCGTAGAAATACCTAAATATCACATAAACATCACGTATACTCTTTCAAATGGCCTTTCAATATTCCTGGATGTCTTGTTGTTAGTAGAGCTTTCCGTGTATATACTGCAAGTGCTCAGTACTCAGTACGCCGGACAGTATTCTCTTCCGGGTCACTGTCAATGGCAACTTTTGGACTTTAAATTGTCTGCTCTTCAAAAAAGTTCTTTCATGCCGAAAATAAAAAACCACTCTCAGAAAGATAAATAAATAAAATAAAAGCTGCCATAAAACAAGTCTAAATAAATACTAATTGAATGAAAATGAAATTCTTTAATAAAACAAAAGAAAATAAATGAAAAATAAATGAATAAACGCGTTGAAAAATCGCATTTGAAGTGAGGTTTTCTCAATGTTGTAAAAACATGTTAGTTTGTTTATGCAATCGAAAAGGCCTAATTGCAAATGCGCTTAAATAAACCATAAAAACAATTACAACAACTATAAACATATGCTAAAAACAACAAAAACAATTGCCTTTTCAGCCTCTTCCGGCGTTCCATGCACAACAAATGCCCAGCGATTCTTAAAGGTGAGTCTCAAGATTTCTTTAACTCTGTCTATCTATCTATCTGTCTGTCTGTCTGTCTGTCTGTCTGTCTCTCTGTCTGTCTGTCTCTCTGTCGGGGTTCTCTACTGCCTATAAATAGAGGAGTGTGCGTGCCATTGGCAGCGCCTAATGGCTGTGGCATAAATCTCTCACCTGCTGGAATTTTCTAATAACGCGAAAGTGTTGCACGCGGCGTCGCTCAGCGGCGCATAAAATGAGAAATTTGTAAAACTTTCAACATAAATTAAAGCATACAATTAGGCGCACACACACACACACACACACAGAGATGAGGAGGTAAATAAATGTTGTCCCAGGTTAACTTACAAAAATTAAACTTGAAGTTTGTTTTGCCCAAACTCGGAAAATTGTGGCTTTGGCTTTTGGTGTATAAAGTTCTTAAAGTTAAGCAGCCGTAATTAACGTTAATAAAGCGCAGCTAAAATAGTTGCTAACTGGCTTAATTCTGACCTTACGTGTCAGCGCGGCAAATTCTCTTTAAAACAAACTCATTTTTAATTTGTTTAGATTCGATTTTATCTGTTGCACTAATCAACTAGTTTATTAAAAGTGATATAATTAAAAGTGCCTTTAATTGAAAAACTACACGTAATCTCTGCATTATCAGATTTTCCGCATTAATTAACATAATCAACAAGTACACGAGCATAAAAAAATCCTGCAAATTGCTTTTGAAAAATAGTTGCAGAGAAAAAGAGAACTTTGCAAAGCAGGTTGAAACTTAGTCTCTTTTTGATTTTGAGCTGAAATTAACTAAACTTTAATTAAAATACTTTCATCTCAATCCCAAATACATTGGGCCAATTTGATTTAGTTCAATTTCATTAGAGTGCACGCCTAATTAAAAAAAAAATAAATAAACAAAAAATGTCAGAAAAAATATTTATTATACCCTGAACCCATTAAAAATGGGTATAAGGGTATATTCTATTTGTGCAAAATCCAAATGTATGTAACAGGCAGAAGGAAGCATCTCCGACCCCATAAAGTATATATATTCTTGATCAGCATCAATAGCCGAGTCGATCTAACCATGACCGTCTGGCTGTCCGTCCGTCCGTCCGTATAAGAGTTAGAGACTTGAAATTTTAGATGTAGATGCTCCTAGCTCCCGCGCAGATCGAGTTTGTTTCCGATAATCGATAACTTACTCCGTTTTCAAGCAATCGATACAAATCGATATCGATATCCTGTTTTTTGGGCAATTTTGATAAATAATAAGAGCAGGAGTCAGCAAACTTGACATATAGCTTCTAAAATAGAATATATATATGCATTTGATGTTGGAAGAAGAGGGTTCAGGGTATCCGCTAGTCGGGAGTAGAACGGGAGCATTTATGCATTTAATAACATAATCCCTTTACTTACACATGTTTATCCTTAACATAAACTATTCATTTGGTTTCTCTAGAAAGTAGCTAAATACTCAAAGCAATGAAAAATGCATTATTGATTCAAATGATTGAATGAGTATTCTTTGAGTTGTATTCCTTGTTGAATATGAACGCATGAGTGTTGTTCAAGGTAAATGAAATTTGACAGGAAATGTTTTATTAAAAATGCATGCAGCTATTGCTTTGCGTAGCTTAAGGGTACTTCAATAAAACAACAACAGAAAGAAATCAGTCACTTTAAATTAAGCGCACATATTTGGAATGTTACAAAAAATTGCCAGGGGAATTTCGGCATTAAATTCAATAAGAGTTTATTGCGAGCCATTTAAGGGAAAGGACGAATTTTGCCTTCTGCATTTTTGTCGTCAAATGTAAATAAAGTATTTTATGGATAAAACAAACTACAACATTTTACAGCCAAGTTCTAGCTGGGCCAAGAACATGTTCTAATAAACGACTCTAGTATGTGATTTACTGTTGTCAAACTTTGCAGACGGCTGTATTGGAAGGTCCTTGAAGGATATTTGCATAAATTAGCGGTTTACTTGTTTGGGGCGTTTGTTATGGGAAAGTTCTTTGGGCGCCTTTTTGTATGCATTGTGTTGGACA